TGCGCGCATCGTATGATGGTTGAAGGTGGGCGACGCAGGATGAAGTTGTTATCAGAACTATACAGTTGCAATTATTCGCGCAGCTGGCATTTCTTCCTGCCTTCTTAATACTCATAATATCTGGACCATGAAAGTACAGCGCGAAAACAGATGAACCAGTTCGCGAGCAAACAGGTGTAGAACTTTAAGTGAAAGATGTTGTAGTTCTAGAGTTCTTCTACTGCTCTAAATTCTGGTTTGAACTCTGAATGACGTCGGTGCGACTTCTTCTATGTATACCACCACTGCAGAGTATTCTAAAACTTATATTTCTCACTTTTGTTGTGCACTTATTACGTTTGCTGGTACTTTGAATCGAAATTGGGTGAACCTTTTCCTGAGTTTAAGGGAAACCAAGCTCGTGTAGGATGCAACGCAGTCTACATAGGTTCGAGATAGTCCATTTCATATTCAAAGTCTCTGTATTTCTCCCACCTATAGAAGCTTCATTCAACTCAGCTCCAGTGATCTGGACTGATCCAAAACAGGTTCTCTATATTGTTAGTACCGTCAAAACGGTTTTAATGTCCAATTTTGATTATGTAAGACAATTTGTTTGCGTCCATTTATAAATAATGCAATACATTTATTAAACATAAATTTTGCCAAAAGTTTCTAAACTGCGTACAATTTTATTAATATTTTTTAAACTATAGTATTTTTTTAAATTATCTATTTATCCTAATTTTACAATTAAAATACAATATATAAAAATATTTCAAAATAGTTTTTTACAGTGGCTTCTGCTGCAACATACCCACTTTTCCGAGACACCAAAACTTGAGTCTACGAAAGTAGTGTAACTGAAGATACGAAGCGGTGATTTATGTACGCATATGCACGACTTTAATTACGGTAAGACCAAAGCTGGTATTGCTAGAAATGACAAACAGTTATGCCCAACATAATTTGGTGGCTGGGCATTGCTGATCAGTAAAAGTAAATTAAGAAAAAAAGCATTGATTTGCTTCGTTTATTTACTTTCCTAATAGACTTGGGTCCTTGTATTTCCTTTGGGTTATCTGCTTGGCCATGCTGGCTCGCTTCGATGGACGATATATCGTGTTCCGCTGCCATCGTATATACCGCTACTGGAGGTTGCATTGGTGACGCAGTGCACTCTTCTATACAATTTCTTCAATCCCCATGATATGTGCGTGTTTTGGACATGGTCATCAGTACATGACAACTGTTTATATTTCTAGTATATTCTACTTTTCATCTAGTAAAGTATTGTACACATCGTAATATAAAATAACTTAAATTTAATATACTTCTAAATTTAAAAATTCTCTTACAGACACCCCCAAAACGGCAAGCTCTCCTTCTCGCCACATGGTATGGAATTTAAGTCTATACTATCTACAACCGGCATCACAATGATTATTATAGTATTCCTTTGAGACCACTCGGCGTTATTCAGCGGAGCTCTATATGAATCACGCTGTCCGTGTTCTGGCTACGTAATGTGGCGGGTGGCTGGCTGGTTTTTCATACAAAACCAGCAAGCAACTTTACGGGCAAATTTTCTTTCATCAAATCAGTCTCTGCAGAGTCTGCTAACTGTTGGCGATCACTGCTTCTTTACTATATTTCTTCAAAATATCAGAAGATGTTACTCAGTGGGTTCCAATATTGGTAATTGTGGTTCTTCAACGAGTGTTATTTCGTCGAGTGTTTGTTTGCTTATATTCGCAAATGCGGCGGGTAGTCTGTGAAGTGGTTCTTTGGTCAATGGAGATCCATCTTCAAGAAATTGATAGTAAGTAGGTGATCGCCAGAGCCTTGAAACTCTTGAGACTGATTTTGAAAGAATTTGCGTAGTATGTTGGTTTGTAAAAACCAGCCAGCCACGCAATTGTGGAACGCGTGACAGCGGATTCATATAGAGCTCCGTGAATAGCATGATGTGGTCTCAAGGTATAATTCATTGTGATGCCGGTGTAGATAGTATGGAGCCAAATTAGCCACTACGGTGAGTGAAACTTGCCCGTTTATATGAAGAATTTTGTAGATATATTACAATTAAAAGTATTGTTATATTACGCATGTCATTGCTACATAGATGAAAGTAGAAGTGTACTGAAAATGTAAATTATATCACAAGCTGATGACAATATTCAAAACACGCACATATCATAATTGTTGAAGAATTTTGTATAAAATTGCACTGCGCCACCAATGCAACTCGTAGCGTATATACGATGGCTAAAGTGGAAAGGAAATGATATCGTCCATCAGGCCAGCATCGACAAGCAGATATTTCTGAAGCCTAAGGACCAATCTGATTGAAGTAAAGTAAATAAACAGTAAATAACAATGCTTTTTCTGTTTATATGTTTCAGTCAGCTATGCCCATACAAATTATGTTATAGGCATAACTGTTTCAGATTTCCAACAATACCAGCTTTCCTGATTGCCTAATTAAGCAGTGCATTATGTACATAAATACCGCTTTCTATATTCACCATTACTACTTTTCATTATGATCTCAATAGTTTTGTGTGTTAAGGGGCATTCATTTTAAACTCTTTAAACGGAAAGCGAAATAAGAACTTGGCATTTTTGGAGGATGTTAAGGATACTAGGCGTTAAATAAACAGTTACAACGAGATATTATATAAAGTGAAATTGTAGAAACAAGAGAATAAATATATTGACACATATTTGGAAAATTGATATACATTTATGTGCATTTGAAAGCAAAATTTTATAAAAATTAAAAAAGTAAAAAAACAAACTGAAATAAAAAAAAAATTATTTTTCCCATCAAATTGAATTGGCTGTATTCAAGTGTTTTCGACAAGCTAAATTAACAAAAATTAAATTGTCAAAATGATAAAGGTAAAGCTTTATCAAGTGCTCGTGTTATTCACACTACTTTATTGCGCAGTTTGCACATCAAAAAAAGTGGGTGCTAACAGCGACCAATATCAAATTATGCAGCGTTCTTCAATACTCTTCGGCCTGACAGTCATCAGTCGTCCGGACATGGTGAGCTACAACTGCTATACACAACTGCAGGAAGTACAAAAGG